TGGGTGCTGCCCTGTAGTTCTCCAGTGAGATGTTTGTTGACAGCCTCTTGCTGTCCCAGTTCTTAACTCTTTAGTTGCTATATAATTGGTTACTAAAGGAAGTCCCAAGGAAGGCAATGAAGCATTAAGATGACACTTAACAGGCTTGGGGCAGTAACTATTCAACCACTATGGATATATCAATATTTTAACAATCGTTACAGCTGAACCAGTATCAGCTGAATAGCAGGCCTGAATGTAGTCTATAAATGCCATTAAGAGTAAGATTTTAAGAGGTACTGTTCTTTTATTTATTTATTTATTTATTTATTTTATTTTTTGCAAGACAGGGTCTGTGTTGCCCAGGCTGGAGTGCAGAGGCACAATCCTGGCTCACTGCAGCCTCTACCTTCTGAGTTCAAATGATCCTCCTGCCTCAGCCACCTGAGTAGCTGGGACAAAGGGGCACGTCACCACAACCAGCTAATTTTTGTACTTTTTGTACAGACAGGGTCTCCCTATGTTGCCCAGGCTGGTCTCAAACTCCTGGGCTCAAGCAATCCACCTGCCTTGGCCTCCCAAAATGCTGGGATTATAGGCATGAGCCACTGCGCCAAGCTACTCTTTGTCTTTTATTGGAATATTTAGTACCTTATAGTTATTGTAACTAGTAATGTTTGGATTTATTTTCAGCTGTTCTTTGTGCTTTTTATTTATTATACCTTGTCTTTTTTTATTTTCCTTTCTTGCCTTCCTTTGGAATTTTTTTTCTCATTCCGTATTTTTTCTTGTACTAGTCTGGAAATTATAATCTTTCTTGTCTTTTGGTTCCTTGAAAATTTTAAATACCTATTAAAGCCTAAAGTTAACATATATAATTATCCCCCCAAAAACATAAAAACTTAGAATATCACCTCATCCTTTATTTTTATTTTACTTTGAGACAGAGTCTCGCTCTGTCACCCAGGCTGGAGTGCGGTGATGTGATCTCCACTCACTGCAACCTCTGCGTCCCAGGTTCAAGCAATTCTCCTGCCTCAGCCTCCCAAGTAGCTGAGTTTACAGGCGCATGCCACTATGCCTGGCTAATTTTTTTGTGTTTTTAGTAGAGACAGGGTTTCACCAGGTTGGCCAGGCTGGTCTCACACTCCTGACAGGCCTCCCAAAGTACTGGGATTACAGGCATAAGCCACCACACCCGGCCTCACTTCATAATTTATATGCTATTATTGTCTTCTATTTTTGTTCCATCTCTGTTAATCCCAAAAGACATTATCAGATTAACATGTGCATACATATTTAACACTTTTTGTTCTTCATTCCTGCTAGCTTCTCAGACCTTCCGTTTAAAAACAATTTCCTTCTCTCTGAACTTAGAATTCCTTTATTGAAGGTCTGCTGGCAAACTTACTCAGCTTTGCTTGTCTGAATATGTATTTATTTCATCTTTGTTCTTGGCAAGGACAAAGAACCTGTGTTTGCTGGGTGTAAATCTAGACTGAGGTTTTTTTCCTGGCATATTGAAAATAATTACCACTGTCTCCAGATTTATATTATGGTTGATGACTAATTGGCTATCACTCTCATAGTTACTCCTTTGAGGCCTTTTTCTCTCTTTTTTTTTTCTAGACGGAGTTTTGCTCGTTTCCCAGGCTGGAGTGCAGTGGCGCGATCTCGGCTCACCGCAACCTCCACCTCCCAGGTTCAAGCGATTCTCCTGCCTCAGCCTCCTGAGTAGCTGGGATTACAGGCATGCACCACCATGCCCAGCTAGTTTTGTATTTTTAGTAGAGACAGGGTTTCTCCATGTTGGTCAGGCTGGTCTCGAACTCCTGACCTCAGGTGATCCGCCCACCCTGGCCTCCCAAAGTGCTGGGATTATAGGTGTGAGCCACCTCACCCTGCCCCTTTTTTCTCTATCTTTTAAGATTTTATATTTATTGTCCCACAGTTTCACTACAATAGGTCTAGAAAGAATTCTTGCTTGGGTTTGTTGGGCTTCTTAAATCATGGCTTGGTGCCGTTCTTCAATTCTGGAAAGTTCTCAGCTATTATGTCTTCAAATAGTCTCCCTTATACCATATGATACGCTTATATGGTATAAGCGTACCATATAGTTAGCCAGAGTTCCTGAAGAAACTGGGACTATTTTCTTTAGGAACTCTGGCTAACTATATGGTACGCTTTTTCTCTCTATGCTCTATGTTACTAAATCTTTTCATATTTTCAATGTCTGTGTTTTCCAGGTCTGTATTCTAGTTAGTTTCTTTGCTTCTATTTTCCAATATGTGAATTATCTCTACAGCTGTGCCTAATGTGTTCTCATGGAGGACAGCTTGACAGGGTCTGACATACTATAATTTATTAACATTATCAATTTTACTTTTTCAAAATGTCATTTTAGAAGGTGATACACTTATTTTGACAATGTTTCTATCACTTAAAACATTTTTTGAATTCTTTAGAAAATACCTTCTAGTCCTTTTATCTTTTTTATTGCCAAATTCCTTATATTCTGGTCTCTATTAAATTCATAATTTTAATTTTTACATTCTGTGTCACCCCCTCCTTCTCTGTATTGAGAAGTCCTTGTAGGTAACAGTGGTTAAGCTACCCGGTAAGCTGATTTAACTCATATTTAACTGAAGGATATGATAAATTATCTCCTTTAACACAGATATGTCATCTATCTGTAAAATTACTTTCAGTCCTGCACAAATGTAGGGCATACTAGATGAAGTAAGAAGACTGAAAAATTAAAACATTGAAGTATTTCCACTCATCACCCTGATAAAGATGAAAAAGAATGGCAGTATGCAGTGTTGCCAAGGGAATGAGGAGACAGGCACTTCCATATGTGTCTAGAATGTAGGAATCAGAATATAGTAATGAGAATTAGTATGATCTTTGCAGAGGGCAATTTAACAATAGGTATAAAAATCTTCATAACAATAACTCATTCTAGGGATTTATCCTAAAGATATAAATACAAAATATTTGTTCAAAGAGGTTTTATTTAAACTAACGAAAAATGTTAAATAATGTTGTAGGAATATATTTATTAACATAAGCAGTTCACAATATACTGTAAGGAAAAAAGCAAGCTACAAAACACTGATTCCATGTTTATATTAAAATAAACATACACAAAGTAAAAATTTCCTTAAATATCCATTTAATCTCTGGGATCATAAGCGATGTTTAGGGTATTTTTTGCTCATTTATTGTCTAGGTTTTACACAATGAGCATATATGTTAATTGTGTAATTTAAAATTATTGAATTAAGTGCAAGAGTTCCTAACCACCTTTTACAAAACTGTTATGAGAAAATGCATTCTAGATTCAAACAAAAACTTTAAGCAATATATCCCTTATTCTTACAGCTCTAAAATCTGTTCTTCTCATTATACTCCCACCTAAAATCCCACATCTAAAAAGTAGAAATAGCTACCTCTGAATTCCTGAAAGTATCGGTAGGAGGCTGGGAGGAAAGGGGCTGGGATATGAAGAGAGAAACTCAATATTTGAGAACAGACTGTTAGTGTTTTGAGGGAAACTTTAGGAATAGGGCTTGGCTGAAGGAAGGAGGCTGCGAGGTTCCATGAATAAGTTTCAGCAAAATAGTTTCTCCTCTCACCAGTTTTCCACCTTATTCAGGTGTGCATCCACTACTACATGCTCCAACCAATTGCTGTTGAGACCCCCGAGATCCCAGCACCACATGTGATTAGGAAGCACTTGCATCACTGAAATGGAAGAGAGTCTACTTGTGCTCAGTAATTCCTGCTTCTATTCCTTTGCTCCTTCCTTAGCAACTTTAGGTCTTTCTTCAGTAAACTTTTTTTGCTTTGTAAACCTATTCTTTTAACCTTCTGTAACATGACATGCTGCCCTTCTACGACCTTTGACATACCAATCATCTCCATTTGAAATACTTCTATCCCTTTACCAACCCTATCTTGACTAATTTATTTCCTACTCATTTTTTTGATTTTGATTTAGGTGTCACTTCCTCAGGGAATCCGTGAACACAGAGTCCATAACAGGTTCCTTCAAGAGTTTATCTCAATTAACAAATATATTTTATGCATTATTTAGTAAGGCTGTCTACTATCTAGTTGAACCATTAAGTCCCAGGCTCAATGAAAACAGTGCCATTAGCTGGTTTTGCTCAGCACGGTTACTCCCGCATTTGGAACACAGCAAGTGCTCAACAAATACACGCCGAATGAGAGAATGAATGAATGAACACCTGGGTAAACAACCAGCAACCGAGAGGCTTTGATGGGATAAGAATTACATTAACTATGTCACCTCATGGTGGAACTGTGCAAATTTTTTCTTTTGATGGCGGACTTGTGTACTGACAAGAAAGTTTTAAATAGATACGATTTTGGAAACTTCCTGTTAAACCAAAGCCATACAATAAATATTTAATCAGCCAAGAAAAAGGCTGTAGTCTAGCCTGGAGACTTCACAAATGACCCAAATCATGAGAGCCACGTCTCTACAGTGTCTTAGTACTGTATCTTCCTTGAGCAAAGGACGCACTTGTCCCATCATGGCAAGTTCAGGTACAGAGTGCAAGGAATCTACAGCCTTCCTACCCCGACACAGGTTTAGGTGGGAAAACGCGAGCCTAGGATGGGGAGAACGTGGACATTTATTCAAAATGTATTTACTGAGCACCTACTGTGTCCCAGAATGCCCTAGTTGTGGGTTGGCTCTGACAGGTCCGCTGTGTGGCTTCAGGCATTTCTCCTTCACGGAGCCCAAGTCCTGAAGGCGAGCAAGTGGGGCCCCGCCTTCCTGCCTCAAAAAGCTGGGCTGGGGGTTCCAGGGGGCGAGAATGCGCTTCAGAAAGTGCCAGGAGGCACGAAGGCCGGCGGCCCCAAACGGCCTTGCCCCAAACGGCCTTGCTAACCTCGGCCCGGGCCGGGGGAGCGAGCCCAGGACTGCCGTCCGCTGGCAGCTGAGCCGGGCGGAGGCGGGCGCCCGCCCTCCGAGGGGCCGCGCTTACCCGTCGGGCGAGTACTCCAGGTTGAAGACTGCGCCGTGGGTGCGGGTGCTGAGGTACACCGAGTCCGCCGGGTGGATGGAACCGTAGAGGCTAGTCATGGTGCGAAAATTGTCCCGCGCCGGGTCCACGAACAGCCCGCGGCCCAGGCTGCGCTCTTTCAGCCACCCGAACAGCCTGGCGCCAGGGCCGCCCAGGCCCGCGCAGAGGCCGTGTCGGCCCCGGCTCTCGGCCTTGCAGTCTGGCCCGGGCCGCCGGCGCGGAGGGGAGGGAGGTGACGGCTCTCCCTGGGCGGAGGCAGCCGAGGACTCCGGAGCTCCGGGCAGCCCGAGCTCTCCGGAGCGCGGGGCCGGGGACAGCGATGGGGCACCGGGGCGGCGAGGGCTCCGGGCAGGTGGAGGGGGATGGGTCTCATCAGCCCCGGGATGTAGCGGCGAGGGCGGCCTAGTGGCTGCTGCCTGCCCCTCGTGGGGCGCCGGCTCCTCAGCCCCGGCTCCGGCCGATCCGTCCCCTCCAGGGCTATGAGGCCCGAAGGGAAACATGACCAACGCCCCCGCCCCCCGCTCCGGGCCACTGCCCCGCCGGCCGACACCTCAGTGCCCCCGTTCAGCTGCCACTTCCGGCGTGCAGCGGCCTAACGTCACCGGCTGGAAACCCGCACCGCCCCGCACCACCCCCACCCCCGCCACCGTCCGCCGGGGACCGGGAAAGCTGAGACACCGCCGGGCTTGGGGCGCCGCAGCCCCGGGAATGGAGGTAGGGAGCGAGCAGTTACCTGTGTGAGCGACTGAGGATGCCGGGGGCTGGGCTATATGGGGCGTTAGCATCTGGGCACCTGAACTGGGTGGCAGAGAGTTGGTCTGTAGTTGTCAGTGAGTGGTGGCCGCGAGCCTGGGAATGAGTGACCTGACCAGTCAGTCCTGTGAGGCTGAGTATGTACTGGTGTCTCCACTTTACACTGGGATCAGCGAGGGATTAAGATTTAGTGCATTATGTGCAGGCAACACAGAATAGGTGGCATGCCATTCTTTTTTCTTTTTTTTTTTTGAGATGGAATCTTGCTGTGTCGCCCAGGTTGGAGTGCAGTGGCGCGATCTGGCTTCACTGCAACCTCTGTCTCCTGGGTTCAGGCAATTCTCTGCCTCAGCCTCCAGAGTAGCTGGGATTACAAGCGCCGGCCACCACACCCAGCTAATTTTTTTTTTTTTTTTTTTTTTTTGTACTTTTAGTAGAGACGAGGTTTCACCATCTTGGCCTGGCTGGTCTTGAACTCCTGACCTCGTGATCCACCCGCCTCAGCCTCCCCAAGTGCTAGGATTACAGGCATGAGCCACTGCGCCTGGCCAGTGTGCCCCACAGGCAACTTCTTCCAAAACCTATTTGTCACAAGACAGAGAGACTCAGAGGAAACAGGTTTGGATGTGCTACCCAAGGAATGGCTGAGATAGCCAATCTGTGTATCTGGGCTTAAATGAAAGATGGCAAATAGGTGATGGTTACTTTTATGGATCAACTTTACTGGGCTAAGTGATGCCCAGATAGCTTGGAAAAACATTATTTCTGTGTGTGCCTGTGAGGGCATTTCCAGGACAGATTAGCATTTGAATCAATAGAAGATCTGCCCTCACCAATGTGGACAGGCATCATCCTATTCATTAAAGACTGAAAAGGAACAAAAAGGCAGAAGAAGGGTCATTTTACTTTCTCTTCTTAAGTTGGGACATCCATATTCTGCCCTTAGACATCAAAACTCTTGGTGCTCCTGGCTTTGGACTTGGGGACTCATCGTCAGTTTTTGGGCCTTCAGTCTTGGACTGGGAGTTTTATACCATTCGCTCCTCTGATTCTCACACCTTCAGACTCGGACTGAATTACACCACCAGATTTCCTGGTTCTCCAGCTTGCAGACCGAAGGTCATGGGACTCTTCTACAACGATATGAACCAATTCCCATACTAAATGTTCTCTTGTATGTATATCTCCTATTGCTTCCACTTCTCTGGAAAACCCCTGGATGGGTCCTATCTGCTGTAGCAGCCTACTTGCCTGGCGTTCACTCTTTTCATATGTATGCCAGCACGTGTGTCCTACTGAACCCATCCTAGAAGGCCTAGGCTGTCGAATTTTGTAGCTGTTACCTAGCTTTCCTTGCCTACTAGCCAGGGTAGGACAACTATTTGAGTAACCAGTCTATAGATTAGCCACTGGTCCAGGATGCTGCCAGACCAAAAGTCTTTGCCGATACAGACTCATGCTTTTGGGAATTTGAATTGGGAAATCAGAAGTGAGGCAGTTGGCCATGATGGTTGGGACTGAAAAGTCATAAGGCAGAGTGAGGCCACTGGAGTCCTGAGCAAACCAAAGGAGTAAGAGAAATCATGAGAAAGCAGCAGCCATGAGAGAGAACAGACTCGGGGTAGAGGGTGAGGAAGAAAGTTGATGGCAGGAGGAGATACAGATACATAAAAAGAGACAGACTCAGAACAGGCTAGACTTGTTCTTGGCAGAGTCCCCTAGGGTCTTCCTGCAGAGTCCTTGAGGTACCAGAATGATGGCTCAGTTTCAGTTTCAGTTTCCTGTGGGATGATCACTTGATTTCACAATACCTGAACCAGGACTCATGCACTCACAAGAAGAATCAAGGGCCAGGCACAGTAGCTCACACCTGTAATCTCAGTGCTTTGGGAGGCCAAGGTAGGAGGATCTTTTTTTTCCCCCAGGGTCTCACTCTGTTGACCATTGTAGAGTGTAGTAATACAGTCATGGCTCACTGCAGCCTCAACCTCCCAAGCTCAAGCGGCAGGAAGATCCTTTGAGGGCAAGGAGTTTGAGACCAGCCTGGGCAACATCATGAAACTCTGTCTGTCTACGAAAAATAACAAAATCATTCCATTGTGGTGATGCATGCTTGTAGTCCTAGCTGCTCGTAAGGCTGAGCCAGGAGGATCCCTTGAGCCCAGGAGTTCAAGGTTTCAACGAGCTATGATCACCCCACTGCACTTCAGCCTGAGCAACAGAGTGAGACCCCATTTCAAAAAAAAAAAGAATCAGAATGACAACCAGGAAAACAAATGTGTCCTTTCAACCAGGGAGCCTTCTGTAGCCCAAAGAAAACAATGTACTCAAGGAGTAAGTGATCCTATCATATAAGCTTATTGAAAAATAAAAAGCAAACATTCATATAATGTTTAGTATGTGCCTAATATTATGCTGAGTAAAGAGATCCTATCATATTAACTTATTGAAAAATAATAAGCAAACATTCATATAATGTTTAGTATGTGCCTAATACTATGCTAAGCTGGTTCATATATATTAACTCAAAACTCAAGATATGTTGGTACGATTATTATCCCCATTTTAGAGATGAGAAAACACAGACACAAAAAAGTCAGCCTGAGAGTGATAAAGCCAGTAGTCAAATCCAGGCAATCTAGGTCCAGGTTCCATGCTCATAACCAGGTGCTATACACACATTTGTAGACTGGCTTGGATCTACAGCTATCACTGTACATACAAGCTCCTTGCCAATGATGGCAACTCAATAGTATTTAAAAAAAAAAAAATTCAAGCCAATCTACAAATATCAGCTCTAGCTCCCCTTTTCTTCTGAATACTTTTAAATTCTGAACCTTTAAATAACTGTAATCCCATAAAAAAGAACAACTTCTATTTGTTAAGTAAGTGCTTCACCAGGCTTATTGGTAGGAACTTTGCAAGCATTGTCTCTAAATCTCCCTTTACTGGGGGCAGCCATAACTTGGCTACTATGGGGAAATGCAAGCTCAGTATTGCCACAGCTACAGATTTTTCAAAAAATGCCACATGTGGAAGTTCAAAATGAGGCCTGCTGTAGGCTCAATGATGCCACAAGAAATAGGACATAGGATGATATACCTAACACAGCAAGGAGATGCCTTGTGTGGCCATGAGTAGATCTTTGAGAAAAGACAGAGTCACTCTGTTTTACAGGTGTGAGCCACTGTGCCTGGCCTCATATTCTCTTTATTTAAGAAGATACTTGAGGTTATGGACCTCTAGCAAAATGGACAGGTAAAGCAAGAAAGTGGAATAAAAGTGATCTAAGTGGATCTAAGAAGGAGAGCAGTGCAGGAAGGTACAAAAGACAGGTGTACAAAAAGGGAGGAAAATATGACACGCTGCAACATGTAACCTTGAGAACATTATGCCAAGTGAAATCAGCCAGTCACAAAAGGACATATATACTGCATGGTTCCACTTCTATGCAGTACCTAGAGTTGTCAAATTCACAGAGACAGAAAGAAGAATGGTGGATGCCAGGAACTAGGGTGAGGTGGGGATGGGGAATTATTGTTTCATGGGTACAGAACTTCAGTTTTGCAAGATGAGAAGAGTTCTGGAGATGGATGGTGGTGATGGTTGCACAACAGTATGAATGTACTTAACACTATGTATATACTGAATGTACAAGTAAAAACAGTTAAGATAAATGTTGTTAGGCATATTTTACCACAATTAACAAAAAGACAGCTGTGCAGCAGGCCTGAAGAGCAGCGCCCCCAAAGTGGGAGGAGCACAGAGTGGGAAGTCTCCAGAGGAAAAATGGAAATGGAAGTTTGGAATCTATTAAGGTGAGGCAAAAGACTCCGATGCTAGAGTAGTAGAAAAAATTAACAAAGTATATAGAATAACAAGCAACGAACTGAAATAAGGCAATCACCAACTCCATGAAAAATAAAGGATTGTGTAAAATGTACAATCTGTCAAGGCAGATAACAATATTTGCACTGGTAATATTGTAAAAAATGGCTTCTGATTTAACCAGAAATTATGCTGTAACTATGCCATGTGTTAGCAAAGTGTAGAAAGGGAAGGATGAAGAGTGTGGAAATAGGAAGAGCCAAAACCACATCTACCTTGTCAGGAAGTCAACACATTCTCTTAAAATTAAGAAATCAAGCAGTATCAGTGTATTATATTTAAACACTGAGGTAAAATATCAGATAAGGCTGGGCGCAGTGGCTCAAGCCTGTAATCCCAGCACTTTGGGAGGCCAAGACGGGTGGATCACGAGGTCAGGAGATCGAGACCATCCTGGCTAACCCGATGAAACCTCGTCTCTACTAAAAAAATACAAAAAAAACTAGCCGGGCGAGGTGGCGGCGCCTGTAGTCCCAGCTACTCTGGAGGCTGAGGCAGGAGAATGGCGTGAACCCGGGAGGCGGAGCTTGCAGTGAGCTGAGATCAGGCCACTGCACTCCAGCCTGGGCGACAGAGCGAGACTCCGTCTCAAAAAAAAAAAAAAAAAAAAATCGGATAAAATTGCTGTAGATGAAGGTAGTTGTCTTTTCGGATGGGAACTGGAGGGTGGCAATGGGTACGAATTTTCTCGTCTTCTCAGACTGAAACTTCGTATCCTTAGGCATGAAGTCCTGTTTCCACCCCCCATTCCCCACCCCCAAGCACCTGGCATCCACTGCTGTTTTTCAGAAACCTTGTAGACTCAAAATTACCTGCACTATTTAGGTGAAAACTAAAAGTGGATATTTTCAAAGGTGTAAGTCATGTTACTGTTTTTCCTCAGGTATACTGTTTTCAGCCTAGAGCAAAAGTAAACTTTTAAGTGGTCTCTGCAGGGATATGTGACATTAAATGTTCATA